TTTCCTGAGGCCACATATTATTCAAAGGTCAGTTGCACTGCACATGTTCAGATCCCTGTTGTAGGTTCCAAACATGGAATAATTTCAGGTACACTTATATATTATTTCTGAATTTTTTAATTGGAGTAAATGCATACATATATATATATACTTATTATATACAATAAAATTTACCATTTTATTGTAAGTGTGCAGTCCAATGACATTAACTGAATTCACATTATTGTGTAACCATTACCATCATTATCCCAGAATTTTATATCTTTTCCACTGTAACTCTATACTCATTAAATATTAACTCCTCATTTCTCCCTCCTCACAGCCCCTATTAGCCCCCATTCCACTTTCATCCCTATCAATTTGATTACTCTGGGTATCTTATATTTATTAAATGACACATATGGCTACCTATGATTGGTTTTTTTTACTTAGCATAATATCTGAAAATTCTTTTGTGTTGTAGCATATAACAGAATTTTCTTCCTTTTATTAAGGTTGCCATAATTTGTTTATCCATTATTTATCTGTTAGTGGACTCATTTGTTGCATCCACTTTTTAGTTATTCTGAATAAAACTGGTATATACATGGATATACAAATATCTATTCTAGACTCTGATTTCATTTCTCTTGAACACATATTCAGAAGTGGAATTGCTATACCGTATGGTAATTCTAATAAGATTGATAATAAATGCTATTGCTGATATTGTCTATGAACTAGTACTCTGGGTGTGTGATGAATACTACATGAGCCTGTTCTTAACTATATCAAATACTGGAATATGATTAATATTAATTATGAAACTCTTTGATAATATATAAGAAATGTTTATAAAATATGAATATTGGGAAACTAGCAGATTTTTGAACCTACTATGAATATGGTATATACATATTTAGTTGAAGGGTCTACTTTAACTGAATCATTCAGAAACTGGTGGAGGAGGAAGAAGAGAGGGGTTCTGTATAAATAGTACTTGACATCAAGTATTCATTCAAGGTTTCAGAACATATGAACCCAATAGTGTTACCTGATTTCAAGGTGTTTGATTTGATATTACTGTGCAAAGAGGACTCAGGAAAGAAATGCTGTCCTTACACGTAAGCTGATAGGCTGCTCCAGTTTTAGAGATAAGTCTTAGATATAAAAGAAAAATGATTCATTTTGGGTTCTAAATATCAGTCATGAAATAACTATACAATGTATGCTATTACAATGATTTTATGTGCATGTATTTTGAGTAAAGATTAGATTTTGGCAATTTTGTGTACCTTTACAGAAGTAAAATATATGAATCCTAATAAATTCTTAATGAAACTATGTTTTTATGATAGCATTAAAGACTTTTTAGCAAAGTTTAGGCTACTAATGCTTGCATATTCAAATTTTACTGTCTAGGTCAAAAATAATTTTTTTACAAAATAGAAACGTTAAATTATTTACTTAAAACTGAAAGGTTTTAAATACTACACAACTAAAAAAAGCTTCTTGTTTTGTAATTGACTTACTTTTCTATCTGCCTTCAGGAAAATTACATCAATGCACCATGGAAAATGATACTCAAACATCAACTGATTTCATTTTATTGGGATTGTTTCCAGCATCAAGATTTGGCGTGTTCCTTTTTGTTCTCATTTTTCTCATTTTTCTAATGGCTCTGTTTGGCAACCTGTCCATGATTCTACTCATCTTCCTAGACACCCGTCTCCACACACCCATGTATTTCTTACTTAGTCAGCTCTCCCTCATTGACCTAAATTACATCTCCACTATTGTCCCCAAGATGGCTTCCAATTTTTTGTTTGGAAACAAGTCTCTCTCCTTCATTGGGTGTGGTGTTCAGAGCTTCTTTTTCTTGATGTTNTCTCCTTCATTGGGTGTGGTGTTCAGAGCTTCTTTTTCTTGATGTTAGGAGGGGCAGAAGGATTGCTTTTGATATCTATGGCTTATGATCGATATGTGGCTATTTGCTTTCCTCTTCACTATGCCGTTCATATGAGCAAAAAAGTGTGTGTGTTGATGATAACAGGGTCTTGGATAATGGGCTCAATCAACTCCTGTGCCCACACTGTGTATGCCCTCCATATCCCTTATTGTCGATCCAGAACCATCAACCATTTCTTCTGTGATGTCCCGGCCATGTTGACTCTGGCCTGCATGGACACCTGGGTCTATGAGTACACAGTGTTTGTCAGCACAACCCTCTTCCTTGTGCTTCCTTTCATTGGCATTGCATGTTCCTATGGCCGAGTTCTCCTTGCCATCTGCCGTATGCACTCAACAGAAGGGAGGAAGAAGGCCTATTCGACCTGCAGCACCCACCTCACTGTGGTTATTTTATATTATGTACCTTTTGCTTACACTTATCTACGTCCAAGATCGCTTAGATCTCCAATAGAGGACAAGGTTCTGGCTGTCTTCTACACCATCCTGACTCCCATGCTCAACCCTATCATTTACAGCCTGAGAAACAAGGAGGTGATGGGGGCCCTGAGAAGAATGATTCAGATAATCTGCTTTTTGAAAATGTAGACAAAGCTTTTTGCATATGCACCCAAGACTTGGCTATAAGTTCTTTTGTCAGTGTACAGTAATTATATAAAATATCATTTTATTATTGGAGCACGAGGACTAGAATCACAAGATAATCACACACGTCTCATTTCTGAGAGATGAAATTGTCACTCAAATATATATGTAATTATAATCCTCTTTTTTATATTTGTGGTGTTTTTCCTCATGAATTTCAAATGCACTCATTTTTTGCTAACATATTTTCAAAGAAAATGGTTCTTTTTCACGTGGAAATTAAAATGGAAACTGTTTTACTGAAGTTATCACTCAGCATAACATTTCTACTATTTTAAAATTATTTTCTAAAATATGTAAAGAGGAATATAAATATTTCTTGAATGACTAGATCTAATTAGTCAGAAAGTTTTTGTTCTTTTCATTGCAGACTAATAACTTATCTGTGTGTTGGTAATTTTTTTCACTGTGGGATATTTTTGCTTTAGAAAGATATATGTGAGACTTCACCAAGGATTCTAAAGACCTAGATCATTTTGAATAAACTATAACAATTTTATGCTCCTTTTATGTAAGTGAATCCTTGGAAAATGATTTCTTTTCAGGTATTCCTCAAGATCAAGTAGAAAGATTTGAATGCCATAAGAGATCAAGAAATTTCGAGATCAGTTGTAATCTGAGTGGATCACAGGTTGAGTATAGATATTAGGAATTAAGAATTTCAAGGACATTTCAATAACCACCCCCCACATACTCAGTAGCCACTGTTATCTTTATATTAGATCCTGTGTCTCATATGATATTTTATTTTTCATTCCCTACATTTCAAATATTTACAGAAATAGGTTTGGAGAATGTCAAATTCTATACACCAATTCTAGCCATTAATAAATCACTTTTCTAAACAGGTCCCACTGTTTATCTAATAAAAACTCTCAGCTCAAGTGGACTTTCTGCTCAAGTAAATGGCTAACACTGCTCATCAGAGGTAAGTGAAGAAATGTTCTTTACTTTTCCAGGTTTGGCAAAGAGGAGGTAAATCATACCCTGGATAATTTATGAGGCACAGCACAAAATTAAAATATAAGGCCTCTCGTTTACCATTTTTTGATTTTTAAAAACGTTTTGTTTATTGTTGTGAAAGAGAGAGAGACAGTGTGAGCAGGGAAGGGTCAGAGAGACAGGGAGATAAAGAATCTGAAGACAGGCTTCAGGCTCTGAGCAGTAGCTGTCAGCCCAGAGACCGACAGGAAGCTCAAACCCATGAACCCACAAACCATGAGTTCACGACCTGAGCTGCCATCTTTTGCGCTAAAATATAAAGATTTTTTTCTTCAAAATTAATTTCTTATCTATAACTGCAATACATATGACAAACAGTATTTTGTCTCATAATTTTGAATATAATAAATAGTAATACATTGTTCTGTGATATCTTCATTGGAAATAATTTTTGCCTCATTTTTTTCTTCAAGTAGATTTTATCAAAATTTATGACTTTAGGAACTCCATTTTTCTATCCATATAATTGAAAGTGCTGTTAGTTACTGGTGGCAAATGCAAGGTTGCCATTAATTTTGATGGTTTTTAATTTGAGAGGACTCATTATGCTTATGTTACTGGAAGGGTTTGGAGTATTTATAGGCAGTGACAACAGTGGACTGAACTTCTCATACATTATTTCCAAACGTAAATTTTAGTACATGTAGAGTTGATGTTTCTTCAGACGTTTTTTTTTTTTTTCCCAGTGAAGAAGTTCTCTAATAAATCAATTTCAACCAATCAATAAATCTGAATTTGCTTTTACATATACATTTAATAAATGTCATTTTAATGAACCTTTCAATTTTCTGGTAATCTGTGAACTTTGTAAAAGATACTGGAAGTCACTTCATGTTTCCAATACCCATTTATTGATTTTATCACTGTATCTTCAATTACAATGTAAACTTCTGTTATCTCTTTTTTTTGCAGGGGGTCTGAAATTTGATATGGAATTTTATTATTTTCATCAATACTATTTCATATTAACTTTTAAATATTTTTAACACTGTTAAGTTGTGTTTCTATTTCTAAACCTCTGGGAATTTTCTTTGCCATGTTGCAGAAGTTTCTAAAAGTAATTTTTGGATGATTTTATTGACTCTCTAACTTCCCAATATATTTCATTGCAATGGCAATGTGTGTACTTTACCTGTGGTATTTCCCTGACAAAGATTCCTACTACTACTAAAGCTCCATACCATTTCCTGTTCAGACACTCAGGCAAAACAGTGAATTTACCAAAGACACAGGATGGGCTTTGGGATGGAAGTGAAAGTCAGCCCTTGCCACACCGTGAGCCACTGCTACTGCCAGGCAGAGCTCCTCTGTCCCCTGGAAGTGGACCCTCTACCTCTGTTGCTGCCTCTGCAGCTGCTGCTGTCACCACTGTCACCAGTCTAGTCCCAGTCCCAGCAGAGCTTACTCCTTGGGGTCCTATGTGTCCTGAACACAGATGTGTGTGTTCATATGAAGAAGCCAGGCTTATTACTCCGAGTGCATGCTGCTGAACCCACCTGTGCAGGTGTTGCTGCTGTGCCGCAATCACATACCAGTGCTGCCACCCAGCATAGCTCCTCTCCTCACATGTACACCCACATATAAAATTATAAAGAGTTCAACTGGCAAACACAGAGCATTAAGCCAAGCAGGTAGCCTTTGGGAGTGTGGGCCCCTGTGCAAGCACACAGATCACACATTCATGAGGCCAGCTTGGAGAAAAGTAAAAAGAGTGAGTAGAAAGGGAATCTTATCATGCAAACTGTGGAAAAAGATATGATGGGAATGTCTGCATTTTTTCCCAGTGGTTATCATTGGAAGTAATCTGAAGAATGTGGAATCGAATAAGGATGCCCAATATAGACTCCTTATCTATTTCAGGCAGTGGATAATGGAGGAAATTGGGGCCCTAGGTCTGCTGTTAGCCCTGAAATACCATGTCCTAACAGAATCCACACCATGCCTCTGGACTTCCAATTCCAGCTACTTCTCTGAAGTCCTCCAAAGTCCTCTGTGTTGTATTCACAGATAATGATTTTTTTTGTTACTAATCTCTGTGATATTCACAGGTCAAAGTCTCAGGTTCATATACTTGGAGTCAGTCATCCCTTCCTAATATTTCTTACATTAGAGTCTTACACAGAGTTTGCTCTGTGGTTAACAACTGTGGAGATGCATTTAAATCTTTTGAGACAGGGCACCTGGGTGGCAGAGTCAGTTAAGTGACTTAGGTTCAGGTCATGATGTTACATATCATGAGTTAAAGCCCTGCATTGGGCTGGATTTGGAAGTCCAGAGGCATGGTGTGGATTCTGTTAGGACATGGTATTTCAGGGCTAACAGCAGACCTAGGGCCCCAATTTCCTCCATTATCCACTGCCTGAAATAGATAAGGAGTCTATATTGGGCATCCTTATTCGATTCCACATTCTTCAGATTACTTCCAATGATAACCACTGGGAAAAAATGCAGACATTCCCATCATATCTTTTTCCACAGTTTGCATGATAAGATTCCCTTTCTACTCACTCTTTTTACTTTTCTCCAAGCTGGCCTCATGAATGTGTGATCTGTGTGCTTGCACAGGGGCCCACACTCCCAAAGGCTACCTGCTTGGCTTAATGCTCTGTGTTTGCCAGTTGAACTCTTTATAATTTTATATGTGGGTGTACATGTGAGGAGAGGAGCTATGCTGGGTGGCAGCACTGGTATGTGATTGCGGCACAGCAGCAACACCTGCACAGGTGGGTTCAGCAGCATGCACTCGGAGTAATAAGCCTGGCTTCTTCATATGAACACACACATCTGTGTTCAGGACACATAGGACCCCAAGGAGTAAGCTCTGCTGGGACTGGGACTAGACTGGTGACAGTGGTGACAGCAGCAGCTGCAGAGGCAGCAACAGAGGTAGAGGGTCCACTTCCAGGGGACAGAGGAGCTCTGCCTGGCAGTAGCAGTGGCTCACAGTGTGGCAAGGGCTGACTTTCACTTCCATCCCAAAGCCCATCCTGTGTCTTTGGTAAATTCACTGTTTTGCCTGAGTGTCTGAACAGGAAATGGTATGGAGCTTTAGTAGTAGTAGGAATCTTTGTCAGGGAAATACCACAGGTAAAGTACACACATTGCCATTGCAATGAAATATATTGGGAAGTTAGAGAGTCAATAAAATCATCCAAAAATTACTTTTAGAAACTTCTGCAACATGGCAAAGAAAATTCCCAGAGGTTTAGAAATAGAAACACAACTTAACAGTGTTAAAAATATTTAAAAGTTAATATGAAATAGTATTGATGAAAATAATAAAATTCCATATCAAATTTCAGACCCCCTGCAAAAAAAAGAGATAACAGAAGTTTACATTGTAATTGAAGATACAGTGATAAAATCAATAAATGGGTATTGGAAACATGAAGTGACTTCCAGTATCTTTTACAAAGTTCACAGATTACCAGAAAATTGAAAGGTTCATTAAAATGACATTTATTAAATGTATATGTAAAAGCAAATTCAGATTTATTGATTGGTTGAAATTGATTTATTAGAGAACTTCTTCACTGGGAAAAAAAAAAAAACGTCTGAAGAAACATCAACTCTACATGTACTAAAATTTACGTTTGGAAATAATGTATGAGAAGTTCAGTCCACTGTTGTCACTGCCTATAAATACTCCAAACCCTTCCAGTAACATAAGCATAATGAGTCCTCTCAAATTAAAAACCATCAAAATTAATGGCAACCTTGCATTTGCCACCAGTAACTAACAGCACTTTCAATTATATGGATAGAAAAATGGAGTTCCTAAAGTCATAAATTTTGATAAAATCTACTTGAAGAAAAAAATGAGGCAAAAATTATTTCCAATGAAGATATCACAGAACAATGTATTACTATTTATTATATTTAAAATTATGATAAAAATAGGGATGCCCAGGTGGCTCAGTCACTTAAGTGTCCGACTTCGT